CTCTGAAGGTTTGCTAAAAAAAAATCACTCACCAGGGCTGGGTGCAGGGGTTCACGCCTATAATATAATATATAGGCTCACACCTATAATATATAATCCTAGCTCTCTGGGAGGCCGAGGCGGGAGGATAGCTCGAGGTCCGGAGTTCGAGACCAGCCTGAGCGAGACCCCACGTCTACCAAAAATAGAAAGAAATGAATCAGCCAACTAAAAGTATATAGGAAAAAAAATGAGCCGGGCATGGTGGCGCATGCCTGTAGTCCCAGCTACTCGGGAGGCTGAGGCAGGAGGATCGCTTGAGCCCAGGAGTCTGAGGTTGCTGTGAGCGAGGCTGACGCCAGGGCACTCACTCTAGCCTGGCAACAAAGCGAGACTCTGTCTTAAAAAAAAAAAAAAAACCACTCACCGGCTGCAGCGATTGCATTTCACTGGCTTTTCCACTAGCGTCTTTCTGCCCCACGGCCCTGCAAACAAGCGCCTCTCCCTGGTTTCCAACTGCTGTTCTCTTCCTGTCCCGGGATGCCATTCAGGGTCTCCCGTTGCTTCTAGCCATCGGGTCTCCTGGGTCTCCTCCCATCTGTGGCAGTTTCTTAGTCTGTCCTTATTTCTCATTGACCTGGACGCTTTTTAAAGAGTACTTGCCAGGCAGGTATTTTGTGGAAAGCCACAAAATTTTTTCTGTATATATTAGTTGGTCAATTAATTTCTATTTATAGTAGAGACGGGGTCTCGCTCTTGCTCAGGCTGGTCTCGAACTCCTGACCTGGAGCAATCCGCCCGCCTCGGCCTCCCAGAGTGCTGGGATGACAGGCCTGAGCCGCCGCGCCCACCTGCTTTATGGTTTTAAGAACCCTTCTGGGGCTGCTGGGGGGAGCAGGGACCGTCGGGGACAGGAATGTAGGTGGCCAGAGGCCAGGACAGCATCCGCGAGGGATACGGGGGCCCGTGGGACTGTGGGGAGGCTCCGGGTAATTCTGGAGCCTGAGCACACAGGACCTGTGGCCGATGGCGGGGACACCTGGGACAAGGAAAGAGAAGGGACGAGGGTGAGTCCGGGTCAGCACCCGGGCTGCTGTACGACAGGCGCCAACGGCAGGGAGAAGGGGCGGATCCCGGGGGGAGCAGCAGGGGGCTGTGTCCAGTCTTGCGAGTTGGCGATGCGATGAGGGCCCCCCTCCCCCCTCCCCCGGGGGGAAGTCCGGCGCCCCAGGACGCTTCGGTCTGGAGCTCGGGGATGTGGCGAGGGGCTGGAGACACCAACAGGACGGTCGTCGGTCGTCGGCATGAGACGGGGTGTGGCCGGGTGGGGCGAGGGTGTAGACAGAGAGTCGGGCGCTGAGGCTCACGCCTGTCATCCCAGCACTCTGGGAGGCCGAGGCGGGAGGATTGCTCCAGGTCATGAGTTCAAAACCAGCCTGAGCAAGAGCGAGACCCCGTCTCTACTATAAATAGAAAGAAATTAATTGGCCAACTAAAAATATATAGAAAAAATCAGCCGGGCATGGTGGCGCATGCCTGTAGTCCCAGCTACTTGGGAGGCTGATGCCATGGCACTCTAGCCTGGGCAACAAAGCGAGACCCTGTCTCAAAAAAAAAAAAAAATCAAAGAAAGCAGGGACTTCCTCTCAACCCTTCTTCCTGTGCACCTCACTCGCGTGCCGTATGTGAAGGTATGACCATCTCTGATTTACAGATGAGGAAACCGAGGCACGAAGGATTGGCAGGGGAAGCCAGCGTGGCGCTATGTCCGACGCCAGCACCCTGGGAGCCTGGGAGGCCTGTCCACAGCTGGGCCCGGGAGCAGCTGGGGGGGCGTCCCAGCCTTGCCCTCTGCCGCCCCCAGTCCACTGCGCCTGCCCCACCCCCACCCACCACCCCAGTGGAGCACTTAGTGCTGCCCGTTCACACCGCCCTGCGAGTCCTGCTCCCCCACCCAACCCGCCTGGATACCAGCCCCGGGGGTGGCAGGAGGGAGGGCGGGGGACCCTCAATACCAGGCTTCTCCCCACCTCTGACAGGTGGAAAACCTCGGATCAGAGATGTCACGGCGTTTGCCCAAACCACACGGGAAGCAGGGGCCCGGCCGGCCCCCAGGCCAGGGCCTCAGCCTCTCCCGCCCACAGGCCCACCATAAGTCCCTGTCAGGCCGGGCTGTCCCGGCCCCTCAGTGCCCACCGCTGGCAGCGCGGGCACCTGAGGGGGCCGCGATGAAATTGTGTGAGACCCAGACGGGTGCACGCTTTGGCGCCAAAATGCAGAAAGGGAACCGTACAGTCCCAAGGAACAGACGTTTAATTACACTCCAGAGCAGGAGGCCAGCTGCAGTTAGGGTGCAATCCCGTGCCTCTGAAAACAGGCCTGGGGCCACTATGCTACCCCCGGGGAAGGCCCCACCCGGCCGGGGTCACCGCTGGCTGCCTGCTCAGTGAGCCACCTGCCGCCCAGGTGAGGCACCTGCCGTCCAGGTGAGCCACCTGCCGCCCAGGTAAGCCACCTGCCGCCCAGGTGAGCCACCTGCCGCCCAGGTGAGGCACCTGTCGCCCAGGTGAACCACCTGCCGCCCAGGTAAGCCACCTGCCGCCCAGGTGAGGCACCTGCCGCCCAGGTAAGCGCAGAGCACGCACAGGCCGGGCCCTCTGGCTGTTCCGACCCCACACCCAAACTCTACCGATCGGAGCGACTGAGAAACCGAGGCACAGGGAGGGGGTGGCAGTGCTGGGACTTGAACACACCGCTGGGACTTGAACCCCTCCAGGCCCGGCGTCTGCACCCTTGACCCCTGCACCCTCAACCCCGCGCGCGACGATGGGCCCGCCAGAGGGAAGGGCGAGGAGGGTACCTTGGCGGTCCGGCCTGGACGCGGCGCTGCCCAGGGACCAACCTGGGCGGGGATGGGGAGCGGGGTGCGGATCCCTCCAGGCCCCGACTCCGCCCCGTCCCGACCACGCCCCTGTGCCCCCCGCTGATTGGACCAGGGCCCAACGGCTGGCAACCAATGCAAGGGCGCACTGTGAAAGCCCCGCCCACGAGGCCCTTCTCGCATGGTAATTGGCCCTTCCGCCTGCCGGTCACTTCGGGCGTGTCCTGGGCCGCAGCCTCCCTGGAGGCCCCTGATTCCTCCGCCACACTGGCCCGCGGGCTTTTTTTTTTTTGAGACAGAGTCTCACTCTGTTGCCCAGGCTAGAGTGAGCGCCGTGGCGTCAGCCTCGCTCACAGCAGCCTCAGACTCCTGGGCTCAAGCGATCCTCCTGCCTCAGCCTCCCAGGTAGCTGGGACTACAGGCACGCACCACCACGCCCGGCTAATTTTTTCTATATATATTAGTTGGCCAATTAATTTATTTCTATGTTTAGTAGAGACGGGGTCTCGCTCTTGCTCAGGCTAGTCTCGAACTCCTGACCTCGAGCGATCCTCCCGCCTCGGCCTCCCAGAGTGCTGGGATGACAGGTGTGAGCCTCCACGCCCGGGCGAGCCCCACTCTTGACATTCACGAATTTGCCCATGTCTGTGTCAAACCTCAGCAAAAATGTTAAAGAGAAAAGAACTGCCAGGGGAAGAAGATGAGAGCCTCTGACAGCCCTGAGGGCCCTGGGCTCCACTGTCTCCAGAGATGCCATCACCAGACCCCTCCGCGGACCTGGGACTTGGAAACAGGCATGGAGCTGGGCGTGGACAGAGAGCAGTCCCATGCCTGGGATTTCCGAGACGGTCCCCAGATGCTTCTCAGTCTCTGCTTAATGCTCCCCACACCAGGGTCCTCAGCCTGGGGGACGCTTTGGGACAGGAAGAGCTCAGGGCTCCAGACCACTCAGGACATTAGCTCCCAAAGCCCAAGGGGGGATCTTGCCCCCCAAATCGGACCCCCCTGGTGGAGACACATCTTGGCACCTCAGGCCCTTTAAGACCAACTAGGAAGGGCCGGGCGCGGAGGCTCACGCCTGTCACCCTAGCACTCTGGGAGGCCGAGGCAGGAGGATCACTCTTGCTCAGGCTAGTCTCGAACTCCTGACCTTGATCAATCCTCCTGCCTCAGCCTCCCAGAGTGCTAGGATGACAGGCGTGGGCCACCGCACTTGGCTCTGTCCTTTCCTTTTAAAATGATGATGCCGGCCGAGCGCAGTGGCTCACGCCTGTCATCCCAGCACTCTGGGAGGCCAAGGTGGGAGGATCGCTCGAGGTCAGGAGATCGAAACCAACCTGAACAAGAGCGAGACCCCGTCTCTACTATAAATAGAAAGAAATTAATTGGCCAACTAATATATATAGAAAAAATTAGCCGGGCATGGTGGCGCACGCCTGTAGTCCCAGCTACCTGGGAGGCTGAGGCAGGAGGATCGTTTGAGCCCAGGAGTTTGAGGTTGCTGTGAGCGAGGCTGACGCCACGGCACTCACTCTAGCTTGGGCAACAAAGCGAGACTCTTCTCAAAAAAAAAGAAAAGAAAAGAGCAACCAGGATCAACACTGACGATCATAACTCACAGCCTTGGACAGGGGAGGGCGGGCGTCAGTGGGAAGAGCCCGGGCCGACCAGGAAGCACACGCCACCGTGGAGCAGTGAGCGCACGGATGGATGCCAGGTAAACGGGCCTTCCGTGCCCAAGTCTGGGCCTCGTCCTTCTCAGGCTCCCGGCCTGGTCCTGCAGGAGCTGGGGACAGACAGAGCCCGACACAGACGCGCTCGGGGCAACCACAGCGGAAATCACAGGCAGCCGGGACTCGGGGCAGGGGGCCGAGGCAGAGGGACAGGATGGAGGAAGGATGTCGGGGCCGAAAGGAGAGAGAGAGGGGAAGTGCCGCAGATGGCACGCGGCCATCGGCGGTGACAGGCTGGCCAGAGAGGAAGTGGGGCTGAACAGCCCAGATAAGCAGCAGCAGCAGCAGGGGGAGGCTGATCCTGCCGCCCAGGCCTTTCCTGTTCCTGCCCTGATTCGCTGTGCATGCTTCTGGAGACAGACAGCTCACTCCTGGGGAAGACAGCTCAGTCCTGGGGCAGACGGCTCAGTCCTGGGGCAGACGGCTCAGTCCTGGGGCAGACGGCTCAGTCCTGGGGCAGACGGCTCAGTCCTGGGGCAGAAGGCTCAGTCCTGGGGAAGAAGGCTCAGTCCTGGGGCAGACGGCTCAGTCCTGGGGAAGACGGCTCAGTCCTGGGGCAGACGGCTCAGTCCTGGGGAAGACGGCTCAGTCCTGGGGAAGAAGGGTCCTGGGGAAGACGGCTCAGTCCTGGGGAAGACGGCTCAGTCCTGGGGAAGACGGCTCAGCCCTGGGGAAGACGGCTCAGGCGGACGGCTCAGCCCTGGGGAAGAAGGCTCAGTCCTGGGGCAGACGGCTCAGTCCTGGGGAAGAAGGCTCAGCCCTGGGGCAGACGGCTCAGTCCTGGGGAAGAAGGCTCAGCCCTGGGGCAGACCTGGGGCAGACGGCTCAGTCCTGGGGAAGACGGCTCGGTCCTGGGGAAGAAGGCTCAGTCCTGGGGCAGACGGCTCGGTCCTGGGGCAGAAGGCTCGGCCCTCCCCTCGCTTGGGGAAGCTCAGTGCAAGATGACCGGCCACGCCGTGGCTGCCGTGGGTGCCAGGGCCGAGGGAGATTGTTTCGGGGAGAACAGGGGTGCCCGTGTGGGAGCCGCAGGGCCAGGCCCACTGGGATCCGAATGTGCTGCACCGTGTGCTCCCAGGCCTGGCGACTTCATCCCCCTACACCCCACTTTCCCCTGAAACAGCTGTCACCGCTGCGCCGGCCTCGCGCTTCGAGCCCGTCCGTGCCCAGTGAGCCGCCGGAGCAGGTGCCTGGCGCGCAGCAGGTGAGCGGTTCCCCGCCCCGGAGCGAGCGCGTCCAGACACGCGTGCACTCTCTCGCCTCCAAAGCTCTGCACGTGGTGCTAACTTCTGCCTCACCTGCCCTTGCCCGGCCGCCCACATCCGACAAACTCCTACACATCCTTCAAAGCCCTGCCTTCAAGACACATCTCTGTTCTCTGTTCCAGCCCCGACCTGCAGAGCGGGGCCCACTGCCACCTACGTGCGCCTGGGTTCGACTGGGCCCGCCGCCACGCGCTGCGAGTCCCCTCCCAGAGCTGGGAGTCTGACACGTGGTAGGCACGCGGTCAAAGCTTGCTGAACGAATGAATGAATGAATGAATGAGTGAGTGGATGGTCATTTGGGAGGGGCGGCCCCCAAGCGGGGACCCGGGGGATCAACAACCGCATCGGCGCCCGGACCCTCTGCCCTCCGCGACCCCGCGGGGCTGGGAGGGGGCCCCACAAAGGGGCGAGGAGGGGCTTCCGGGCGGGGTCGGCAGCACTTCCGGTACGGCCCCTTTAGGGGGCGGGGCCGGCCAGCGGGGCGGGGCCGGCGGCACTTCCGGTGCGGCCCCTTTAGAAGGCGGGGCGGGGCCTGCTGGTGGGGCGGGGCCGGCGGCACTTCCGGTGTAGCCCCTTTAGGGGGCGGGGCGGGGCCTGCTGGTGGGGCGGGGCCGGAGGCACTTCCGGTGCGGCCCCTTTAGGGGAGGAGCCCGCGGTGGGGCGGGGCCAGAGGCACTTCCGGTGCGGCCCCTCTAGGGGCGGGGCCCGCGGCGGGGCGGGGCCTGCGGGCAGGGCGGGCGAAGATGGCGGCGGCGGCGGCGCCCGGCTCGCTGCTGCTCGTGGTGGGCGGCGAGTGCGGCTGCCCCGGGCTGCTCGCCTACGTCCTGGAGGAGCTCGAGCGAGGTGGGCGGCCCGGCGCGGGGGTGCGGGGGTCCGGCAGGCGCGCGTCGCGGCCCGGGGGCGGGCGTGGGGCGGAGGGCCCGGCTGCGGGATCCGCTTCCCGCCGGCCAGGCCCGCGCGGGGGAGGGGCGCGGCGCCTCGGTCCGGGCCTGGCGGGGCGCGCGGGGCGGGCGGGGCGGGCGGGGCGCGGGGCCCGCTTTCTGCGGCTGCACCGGGAGCCGCTAGCTGGGTGTGGGCGGGTGCAGCGGGCCCCGGGGGTTTGGCAGCGGGGGCGGAGGGTGAGTCACGCGTGCACCTGTGAGTTCACCTGCAGCCACTTGGCGCGGGGCGCGGGCGGGCGCGGCGCGGCCCTGGGCCTGGGAGGCGGTTTCTCCGCATCCCGGGGAACGTCCCGTGGGATACAGGACGCTCCCGGAGTGTCTCCTGGCCCCCCGCCGGGCACCGGGCCTGCCTGTCGGCCCTCGCAGGCCTCACGGCCCGGCGGGGGGATGGGCCGAAAGCGAGCGAGGAGGTTGAGCAGGTGTGGACGCTCTCACGGTGTCAGGATGCAAAGAGCTGAGAGGACAGTTGGTCTTAGCACCTGGAGGGTGGGGACGCGGGCAGGGGGAAGGGCCTCTGCGCGGAGGGAACAGGTGGGCAGGCAGGGGGCCAGGCCTCGGGGCAGTGGGAACAGCTGATGCAAAGGCGGAGCTCTGAAACGAGCCCTGCAGGACACAGGAGCAGTGGGGGGGGGGGCTCTGTCGCGGACTGTCCTGAGTTTGGTCTGTAAATCGCTTACGCCTGTGCCGGGGGCTTCCTTGAGCCAGCTGCAGCAGGACCCGCAGGTGCTGGGTGGTTCCGAGTCTCCAGGCTGCCTCGAGTGAGAACCGGGGGGGAGGGGGCTGCGGTGGCCCCCGCCCACCTGGTGCTAGGTATTGAAATATTTTGGTGCCTGGGCCCCCCATCCCTGCTGAACTGCCCCCTCCCGCCAGGCATCCGGTCCTGGGATGTGGATCCCGGCGTCTGCAGCCTGGACGAACAGCTCAAGGTCTTTGTGTCCCGGCACTCGGCCACCTTCTCCAGCATCGTGAAAGGTGAGGCTGGGTCCCCGTGCGCCCTCTGCGTGTCAGGCGTGGGGGGGAGCCAGGGCCTTCCGGGTGCCGAGCGCGCACGAGCCCCGACCCGGCGACAGCTCCCCTGGTCCCCAACAGCCCACGGGCAGGAGCTAGTGTTTCTGTCCCTGATTCTCGGGTGAGGAGCCCTTGGTAGCCAAGGGGCGGGGAGGCTCCGAGGAGGTGGCTTTTTTGGATGAGAAACTGCTGGGGTGGGGGTGCCAGGCGGAGGGAAGGGCCCGGCAGCGAGGCAGGACGTCTGGAAGGTGGGCTGGGGGGTCGCGGAGCCGGCCCGGAGGACGGCATGGGGGCCCCTTGTAGGCGGGGACCAGTCATCTGGGTCTCGGGTGTGACCCTTGCACAGGGTGGTGGGTACGCAGTAGGCGCTCAGTAGATGGAGAACTGAGAAGGAATGAAATCGAGAAGGGCCCTGCTCTGGGAGCCCCTGCTCCGGCCTGCCCCTGAGTCACCTCCCAGCTGCCGCGGGAGGGGAGGGGAGGAGAGGGGAAGGAAGTGCCCGTCCGCATTGTCCCAGCAGGTCCCCGTGGCTTCCCGACCTCTCTTGGGGCAGGGAGCAGGGCTGGAAATCCTGTCTGCTCTCTGTGACCTCTGCGGCCACTTCCCCTCTCTGCCTTGGTTTCCCCACCTGAATGGGGCAGTGTCCGTGGGATAAGAAGTATGACAGACATGACCAAGGCTGACCGGGCCTAGGGGCTCGTCCCCTACAGGGGCCGGGGCTTTGTGTTTGAAACGCGCCTGGGTTCTGGGAGGCAGAGCTGGGCCAAAAGCGCCTGGTCCCGCCTCTGGGCCTCTGCCCAAGTCGTCTCCTCCTCCCATCCCACCCCGGCCCCGGGCTTCTTGTCTATGACGGTGGCATCCGCCATGGGGCTGCCGAGGAGCCCGGCTCTCAGAGCGGGCCTCTTGTTACCCCATTTCCAGCGTGAGGCCGCTGGGGGGGTTTGGGCGTCCCCTCCCTGCCTCCTGACCTGCAGCTCTGCTGGCTAACCCGGGTGACCCGTGGGAGGAACCCCCTCCCAGAGGGGTTCGTGCTGCTCTTGGGTTACGCAGGGGGCGGGGCTTGGCTGCGGGGCTTGGCTGCGGGGCAGGCTGACCTGCGGGTGCCTGGTGGATTCCCCCGCAGGCCAGCGGAGCCTGCACCACCGCGGAGACGCCCTGGAGACCCTGGTCCTGCTGAACCCATCAGACAAGTCCCTGTGTGACGAGGTAGGGGACAGCTGACGTCCCAGAGGGAGGGGCTGTGGGGACGGGTCTCACCCCTGTCCTCGTCTGACGTCCCCACCGTCATACCTCCTGCAGTCCTCTCCGGGAGACGCCCAGCACCCAGCCCAGGGGCAGAAAAGGCCGGCGTGGGGCAGGGGGAGGGGAGGGGTGGGGGGCCCCCGGCTGGCACAGCTCTGGAGGTGGGAGGCAGGGCCCAGGTGACGTGTGTGTCCTCTGAGTTCCCCTCAGCTAGGCCACAGTGCTCGTGTGAGTTGACTTATTAATTGGCTCGTGCACACCTGTGTATCCTTCTCTCAATCACGTATCGAAAAGATGAACGAGGCCGGGCACAGTGGCTCTCGCCTGTCATGCCAGCCCTTTGGGAGGCCAAGGCTGGAGGATTGCCTGAGCCCAGGAGTTCGAGTCCAGCCTGGGCAACATAGCAAGATCCCATCTCTGCAATAAATAAATAAATAAATAAAACATTAGCCAGATGCAGGGACACACACCTGTGGTCCTAGCTGCGTGGGAGGCTGAGGCAGGAGTTTGAAGCTGCCCTGACGATGCCCTGCACTCCGGCCTGGGCAACAGAGCCAGGGACCCTTGTCTCTAAAACAAAAAGACATTGGGGCTCCCCGCTAGAGACCCTCCCACAGGTTGATTCCTTGATCAAAAACGTCCCCTTTGCGCGCGAGCGAAAGGAGGGCTTTTGGGGGGGGGTGTTGGAGGTGGCCCTCGGAGGTGCAGCGGGGCGGGGCTGGCAGCCGTGGCCTTTCCGGGCTGGCCGTGGGGCGGCCACTGAAGGTGGGGGGTTGTGTGTAGTCTGGCTGGGCGTGCCCCAAAGGGGACTGCCAGGCACCTGGCTGCGCAGGATGGGCCCTTTAATGCTCGCCCCGCCCCCCAGCTCCGGAACCTTCTGCTGGACCCCGCCCCTCACAAGCTGCTGGTGCTGGCGGGGCCCTGCCTGGAAGGGACGGGGGAGCTACTGCTGCAGACGGGGGCCTTCTCGCGCCACCACTTCCTCCAGGTCCTGGGGGACGGAGAGGTGAGCCCCCCCACGCCACCCAACCCCCTGCTCCGGTCCGGCTCGTCCCATCGGGCCATGTGGCCCCAGGGCTGCCGTCCCCCCCCATCTCCTCCTGCTCTGGGGGCCGCAGTGGTGACACACATGACCCCCAGCTGTCGCATCGGTTCCCATCGTCCCAGAGACAGCGTGGTGCGAGCGGGCCCCCAGGCGTCAGCCCGTGTCCCAGACGTGGTGCCCCAGATTCCAGGTCCCAGTTGGGACGGGTCCCAGCGGGTCCTTTCTGGAGCCCTCAGTCCGGGTGGGGCAGATGGGCCCAAGTCCCTGGCAGATCACACTTTCACATCGCGGTGATGAGAAAAAGGTGCAGTAGGTAGAGGGGGCATGGAAGGTCTCCTTGGAGGGAGTTGTGCCCTAGAAGGCAAGAACAGCAAGTGCAAAGGTCCTGGGGCAGGCCGGGCACGGTGGCTCACGCCTGTAATCCTAGCACTCTGGGAGGCCCAGGTGGGAAGATCGCTCAAGGTCAGGAATTCGAAACCAGCCTGAGCAAGAGTGAGACTCCGTCTCTACTAAAAATAGAAACAAATTATCTGGACAACTAAAAATATACAGAAAACAATTAGCCGGGCATGGTGGCGCATGCCTGTAGTCCCAGCTACTTGAGAGGCTGAGGCAGGAGGATTGCTGGAGCCTAGGAGTCTGAGGTTGCTGTGAGCGAGGCTGAAGCCAGGGCACTCTAACCAGGGCAAAAGTCCTGGGGGAGGGAAAGAGAGGCAGGAGATAGGCCAGACCATGGGGCCTCCTGGCCTCAGGGGAGGCGGGGTTTTGCCTGCGGGTGTTGAGGAGCAGGCAGGGCCCTCCCAACTCCAGGAGGCAGGACCGGGTGTCCTCAGCGGGTTTGCCCAAGGGGGTTTGCCCAAGGGGCCGGGTGTTGCCCGGCTCTGGTGGCCCCTTACCGCCCCCTCCCACCTGCAGATCCAGAGCACGCTTGCTGCCGCGCACCCGCCCGCGCGCCCGCCCGCGCTCACCATCACCTGCCCGACCTTCGGAGACTGGGCCCAGCTGGCGCCCGACCTGCCCGGCCTGCAGGGCGCGCTCAGGCTGCAGCTGCGGCTGAACCCGCCGGCGCGGCTGCCGGCCTCCGAGGGCCTGCGCGAGTTCCTGGAGTACGTGGCCGAGTCCCTGGAGCCGCCGTCGCCCTTTGAGCTGCTGGAGCCGCCGTCCTCCGGGGGCTTCCTCCGCCTGGCGCAGCCGTGCTGCTACGTCTTCCCCGGCGGCCTCGGGGACGCCGCCTTCTTCGCCGTCAACGGCTTCACGATGCTCATCAACGGGGGCTCGAACCCCAAGTCCAGCTTCTGGAAGCTGGTGCGGCACCTGGACCGCGTGGACGCGGTTTTGGTGACCCACGCGGGCGCGGACAGCCTGCCCGGCCTCAACAGCCTGCTGCGGCGCAAGCTGGCCGAGCGCCAGGAGGTGGCGGCCGGCGGGGGCTCCTGGAACGACCGGCTGCGCAGGCTCATCTCGCCCAGCCTGGGCGTCGTGTTCCTGAGCGCGCGGGAGGCCGCCGTGCGCCTGCTGCGCGGCCAGGACGAGGCGGAGCTGGCGCTGAGCCTCCTGGCGCGCCTGGGCATCGCGCCCCTGTCCCTGAGCCGCGGCGCGCCGCCCGCGCAGCCCACCGTGCTCTTCCAGAAGATGGGCGTGGGCCGGCTGGACATGTACGCGCTGCAGCCGCCCGCCGCGGGCGCCGAGCGCGCGCCAGCCTCCGTGTGCGCCCTGCTGGTGTGGCACCCCGCGGGCCCAGCCGAGAAGGTGGTGCGCGTGCTGTTCCCGGGGTGCACGCCGCCCGCGCGCCTCCTGGACGGCCTGGTCCGCCTGCAGCACCTGGGGTTCTTGCGGGAGCCCGTGGTGACGCCCCAGGACCTGGAGGGCCCGCGGCGGGCGGACAGCAAGGAGAGCCTGGGCTCGCGCGACAGCTTAAAGCGAGAGGGCCGCGCCCCCAACCCCCCCAGGCCGGGCCAAGACCGCCCCGGGGGCGCCCGCAAGGAGTCCGCTCTGGCTGAGGCCCCGCGCAGGCCCCAGAAAGAAGCCAGGCCTGCCCGGGAGGTGAAGAAGAACCCCAAGGCCAGCGCCCCCCGGACCCAGCCCTGGGAGGCGCGCCCGGCAGCCTCCGCGGCCCCCAGCCTCAAGACAACGGGCACCCAGGCAGCCCCCAAACCCCGCAGGGCGGCCAAGTCCGGCGTCCTGCCTGCGGAGAACGGGCCCCGCAGCCCCCCTGGCGTGCGCGGAGGAGAAGCCAGTCCCCCGACGGCGACGGCCTCCAGCTCCCCTGCCCCGCCGCCGGCGGCCACGCCCAGCCTGGAGCTGGCGCTGAGCGCAGCCGCGGAGGAGCCGCCGCTGGCCGCCCTCCCGCGCCCGCGCACGCCGTCCCCCGGGCCCCGGCGCAGTCCCGCGGACGGCAGCGGGCGCCTGTCGCTCAGTCCGCTGCGGGCCTCGGCGCCCGACGCCTCGCCCACGGCGACCACGCCCACGCTGACCACGCCGTCGCTGCCCGCCGAGGTGGGCTCCCCGCACTCCACGGAGGTGGACGAGTCCCTGTCCGTGTCTTTCGAGCAAGCGCTGCCGCCCGCGCCCTCGGGCGAGGCCGGGCTGAGCCTCCCCCTGCGCGGCCCGCGCGCGCGCCGCTCCGCCTCCCCGCACGACGTGGACCTGTGCCTGGTGTCGCCCTGCGAGTTCGAACACCGCAAGGCCGGGCCTCTGGCGCCGGCGGCCGCGTCCCCCGGCAGCTCCAACGACAGCAGCGCCCGGTCGCAGGAGCGGGCCTTCGGGCCGGGGGCCGAGGAGACGCCCCCCACCTCTGTCAGCGAGTCCCTGCCCACCCTGTCGGACTCGGACCCCCTGCCCGCCACCCCTGGGGCCGGTGACTCGGATGACAACACAGAGGGCTTCGGGGTCCCAGGCCACGACCCCCTGCCCGACCCCCTCAAAGTCCCCCCGCCACTACCTGACCCACCCGGCATCTGCATGGTGGACCCCGAGATGCTGCCCCCCAAGTCCGCCCGGCACACGGAGAACCCCGGCCGCCCGAGGAAGCCCCCGGCGCGGCCCAGCTCGGGCGCCGCGGCCCCCAAAGCTGCCCCAGCTGCTGCTGCCAGAAGCAAGGCACTCGCCGGCGGGGACCGGGCCAGCCGGCCGCCGAGTGCCCGGAGCGAGCCCAGTGAGAAGGGAGGCCGAGCACCGCTGTCCAGAAAGCCCTCGGTCCCCAAGACTGCCGCCACTCGAGGCTCGCCAGGTGAGTACCGGGAGCTGGGGTGACCACGATGGGTGACCCGCCTCGGAGTGCCCATTGCTGCGTGCCGGGTGACCCCAGCCACCCACGCCACCCTCTTGGGCGTTCAGTGTCTCCCTCAACACGAGGTTCCGGCCTCCCTGTTGAAGCGTTTGCCACCCCGAAGCTTCCATGCGGCACCACCAGTGGGGACCCCGTGAGCATGCCCGGCCCCGTGCGTTTTCTAGAAGTCACCATGAGTAAGAAGAAACAGGTGCCACTTGAACAGTGTGCAGTTTGTCTCACCCACTGGCCGGGGGCCCCCGCAGCAGCGCAGGACCAACAAAGGGGAAAGGCACCGGGGCAAGGTCCAGAGGACACCAGGCGGAAGGTTCTAGAATCCTCCCCGTAGGGCCACACACCACGTGCTTGATTCCCCCAGCAGCAAGTGTGGCGACACACCTGCCTGGCCTGTGCAGACGTGCTGGGCGTTCTGGAAAGTGGAATGCAGGTGGGGAGCATGGCCCGCCCTGTCCCGCGGTGGAGGCCCGCAAGCCCCTCCTCCCACGCGGGGACCTCCTGAGGTCAAGCTCCCAGGGCCAGCCTTTCAGCAGGTGCTGATGAGGAGAGAGGGTCTCTGGCCTGCTGTGCTTTTTTTTTTTTTTTTTTTTTGAGTCAGTCTCACTCTGTTGCCCGGGCTAGAGTGCCATGGCGTCAGCCTCGCCTACCACACCTCCCAATCCTGGTGCTCAAGCGGACCCTCCTGCCTCAGCCTTCTGAGTAGCTGGGACTACAGGCATGCGCCACCACGTCTGGCTCATTTTTTCTATATATTTTTAGTTGTCCAGTCAATTTCTTTCTATTTCTTTTTTTTTTTTTTTTAGTAGAGATGGGGTCTCGCTCTTGCTCAGGCTGGTCTCGAACTGCTGAGGTCCTACGATCCTACCGCCTCGGCCTCCCACAGTGCCAGGATTACAGGCGTGAGCCACCGCGCCCGGCCCAAATATATGATTTGCAAATATTTTCTCCCATCCCGCGGGTGGCTGTTGTTTTGAGGCAGGGTCTCTTTCTTTTGCCCAGGCTGGAGTGCAGTGGCGTCATCATGGCTCACTGCAACCTCAAACTCCTGGGCTCAAGCGATCCTCCTGCCTCAGCCTCCACAAAGTACCATTATTGCGGGTGTGAGCCACTGTGCCTGGCCTGATTGTGTCCTTTGATGCACAGAAGTTTTAAATCTTCACGAAGTCCCTTTCACCAGTTGTTGCTTTTGTTGCCTGCGCTTTTTGGTGTCATACCCAAGAAACAGCTGCCAAGACCAACGCTGGGGAGATTTTTGTCCTATGTTTTCCTCCAAGAGTTTTATAGTTTCAGCTTTTACGTTTAGGTCTCTGGTTCATCTGGAGACAGTTTTTGTATATGGTGTGAGGTAGGGATCCACCTTCATCCTTTTGCACGTGGAGATCCAGTTTTCCCAGCATTCCCCGTGGAATGGCCTTGGCCCCCCTGTTGAAGACCATTTGACCGTCTTAAGTATTTACTTCTGGCCTTTCTCATTCCATTGCTCCACGTGTCCGTCTTCACGCCAGCGCACGCTGTCTCGATCGCCACAGCGTGCAGTGAGGTTTGGAGTCGGGGCGTGCAAGGCGTCCAGGTTTATTGATCTACTTCACAGTCGTTTTGGCTCTTTGGGACCCTTTAAGATTCCAACCGAATTTCAGGATTTTCTTTTTTTTTTTTTTTTCCTATTCCTGCAAAAAAAAAAGTCACTGGCATTTTGATTGGAATTGCATTGAATTTGTAGACACTTTGAGGACTGTTGACATCTTATTAATCAATAGGAAGTCTTCTAATTCACCAACTAATTGTAATTCACAGATTCCTTTCAGCAATGTTGTGTAGTTTTCGTTTGTGCAAATCTTTCACTTTTTTCATTAACTCCTAAGTTTTTAGACTTTTGTAAGTGGAATTACTTTCTTAATCTCTTTTTCAGATTGCTGTCAGTATCCAGAAATGCAACTGCTTTTTGCATATTGATTTTTTTTTTTTAATCTTGCTTCTTGGCTGAATTCATTTATTATTTCTAACAGTACTTGTGATATCTTTAGGATTTTCTACATATGAGATCACATCATCTATGCAAAGAGAATTTCACGGTTTCGTCTCTAACTTGGACACCTTTTGTTTTTTTGGTGTTTTGTTGTTGTTGTTGTTTTGGCATAGCCGCCCTGGGTGGAGTTCCCAGTCCTGTGTTGAATAGAAGTGATGGAAGCGGGCGTCCTTGTCTTGCCCCTTCCTGGTTTGGGGACGCTCTCTTTCTGTCACCTTGAGTGTGAGGAGACCTGCGGGTTTTTCATATGTGGTTTTTATCACGTCGAGGCAGTTTTCTTGTATTCTTGGCTTGACCGTCTTTACCGTGAAAGAGTGTTGGGTTTTGTCAGATGCTCTTTCTGCATCAGTCGAGATGATCACGTGGTTTTACCCCTCTTTATTCTGTTAATGTGCTAGGTCCCGTTGATGTTTTTCCCCCTGTGTTGAACCGCCCTTGCATTCCACGAACAAGTCCCACTTGGTCCCGGTGCATTGTCATCTCAACGTGCTGCTGCGTCCAAGGTTTTGACATTATCGGTGGTAGAGCCCGTGGCCCTGCCGTGCGCGGGGTCTCTGCGCAGCCTCCGTGCCGGCGGTGCCGGGCGCACAGCGAGCTAGGAGCTGCTCCTTCCTCTCGGTGTTTTGGGAAGGTTTGAGGAAGCTCAATTCTAGTTCTTTTTTCTTTTTGAGACTGAGTCTCACTCTGTCTCCTGGGCTAGAGTGAGTGCCGTGGCGTCAGCCTCGCTCACAGCAACCTCCATCTCCTGGACTCACGCGATCCTCCTGCCTCAGCCTCCCGAGTAGCTGGGACTACAGGCATGTGCCACCACACCCGGCTAATTTTTTCTATGTATTTTTTTAGCTGTCCAGATAATCTCCTTCTATTTTTAGTAGAGACGGGGTCTCGCTCTTGCTCAGGCTGGTCTCTGCAACTCCTGACCTCAAGGGATCCTTCAGCCTCAGCCTCCCAGAGTGCCGGGCTGACAGGCGTGCGCCGCCGCGCCCGGCCTCGATTGCAGTTCTTTACATGTTTGGTAGGGTTCGCCAGTGAAGTCTTAGGGCCGGGGCGTTTCTTGGCGCAGAGGTTTTCAGTTCCGTCTCCCTGCTCCCTGATAATCACAGGCACGTTCGGATCCTCTGTCTTCCTGACTGGGTCTCGGTGGCCTTTGCGCTTCTAGGAGTTTGTCCATCTCACCCGGGCCACCCGGCGTGTGGTGTGTGGTCGTTCCCAGTGCTCCTCCCTCCGGCCCCGGCGGCTGTGGGGGTCTGGCCGAGACAAGCTGCGCTCGGCCACCAGTTGGTCATTAGCTCACTCGCCAGGGCTGGTGGCCTCGGCCCCGAGGCCGTGGCTCACCGGGTCCCTCTCCTAAGACTGTCCCTCTCACACCTGCCCTGGTCCCCTTCCCCGACGCCGGGTGCCCGGGCGGCCTTGACGAATACTCGCGCCCCTCGAGTCATGGAGCGGACACGTGCCGCCAAAGCAGCAGAGCCTCCCGGGCACCGGCTGCTTTCAGGGCTCAAGCTTGAAACCCCCTTGCCAGAGGCCCCCTGATTCCCCGATGCCCCTCTGTCCCCGGGGTGCCTGTCCAGGCAGGAGCCAGGCCGGGATGGCTCATCCCACCGCAGGCCCGGGGCGCAGAGGCCAGCCGGTGGTGGCGTTTGCAGAGCGCGTAAAGATTTGCGCAGCAGCGGAGCAGCGGGATCCGGCCTCCCGCCACCGGGAGGGTGCGGCCGGGCCCCGGGTCCTGGACCTCGTCACCGACTCTGCCCCTCCTGCCCCGCAGGCTCAGCTGGCAGCCGAACTGCTGGGCAGGCCGCGGCGCCCGTCTACCTGGACCTGGCCTACCTGCCGGGCGGGAGCAGCGCGCGCCTGCTGGACGCCGAGTTCTTCCGCCGCGTGCGCGCGCTCTGCTACGTGATCAGCGGCCAGGACCGGCACAAGGAGGAGGGCCTGCGCGCCGTGCTGGACGCGCTGCTGGCCAGCAAGCAGCAGTGGGACCGCGACCTGCAGGTGCCTGCCGCCCGCCGGGCAGGGCTGGGGGAGGGGGAGCCGCGCGGGGCTTGGGGGGCACATGGGAGCGCCCCCAGCTCAGCCCTTAGGGGACCCTCCGGGCTGCGTTGCTGCTGCGTTTCTGTCGGGTCGCCGTCCTAGTCAGCTGCGCGGGCAGCCTGGGGGAGGACGCGGGGCCGGGCGACTGCATCCGCTCCCGCACACCCTGGTGCGTGCACGGGCCGGGATGGCGGAGGCCGGGGCAGCCCTGAAGGCCGCAGGAGGCCGCGAGGTGGAACTGAGCCTGGGGGGCGAAGCGAGTTCAGGGAGGTGCGCGCACGCGCAGCTGCGGGGCCTGCGGGGGAGGGGCAGCGGGCGCAGGGCCGGGCGGGCCACGTGCTGGGGGGGAGGCAAGGCGGCTCGGCCTGCGGACATTTGCGGAGCAGTGGCCCGCGTCCCCGTGGCGTGAGGGTCCCCTGACTGCCGCGCGGAGGAGAAGGGACTTCGGGGCTGGGCTGACCACCAGCGCAGACGTCGGGGCCGAGCGGATGAGTTCAGAGAGGAGGCAGAAGGAAGGAGGGCCGGGCTGGGCCAGGGGCGGCAGCAGGCGCTCCCGCCTCACTGCTGGCCCGTCTGTCCTTCCCGCAGGTGACCCTGATCCCCACCTTCGACTCGGCGGCCATGCACAGGTGGTACGAGGAGACGCGCGCCCGGCACCAGGCGCTGGGCATCACCGTGCTGGGCAGCAACAGCATGGTGTCCATGCAGGACGAGGCCTTCCCGGCCTGCAAGGTGGAGTTCTAGCGGCCCGCGACGCCGCCACTGTCCCCGCCCCCGCCCCACGTGTCCCCGCCCCCGACATGCGCCCGCCCCACCCCCACCCCACGAAGCCCCGCCCCCACCCCACCTGCCCGCACCGGGAGTAATAAACCGTGCCCTCTGCCGGGCTGTGGCCTCCGTTCTGTCGGCCTTCAGGAGGCTCGCCACGCGGGCCCCAGCCCCGGGGAGGAGCCCCGTTCCTGGGCTCCCCGGGACCCCACAGGGGAGCTCGCTCTGGCCGCCTCGTGCTGGATGGGAAACTCAGGCCTCGCGGGCCCTGGCGGGGAAGGAGGCGCCTCTCAGTGAATGAGCGTGGTGGCCTCCACCCCAACGGCCCGAGTCGCTGAAGGGAGGTGGGAGACCTCACCGCACCAGCCAGGCGGTGCCAGGGCGGGATTTGAACCCCGGCCGCCACACTTCAAACCATAAAGCGAGCTCGCCCTTCCAGCTCCAGAGACGGCGGGTGTCCCTTCCGGAAAAGTCACACTGTGCAGGGAGGTTTTTGTTTTCCTTTCGTTTTTGCTTGAGACGGTCTCGCCCTGTCCCCGGGCTGGAGTGCCATGGCGTCAGCCCAGCTCACTGCGGTTTCCCACTGCTGGGCTCGAGCGATCCTCCTGCCTCAGCCTCCTTCCGAGACTACGGTCATGAGCTCTTCGTGCCCGGCTGATTTTTTTTTTTTGAGACAGAGTCTCGCTCTGTTGCCCAGGCTAGAGTGAGTGCCGTGGCGTCAGCCTCGCTCACAGCAACCTCAGACTCCTGGGCTCAAGCGATCCTCCTGCCTCAGCCTCCCGAGTAGCTGGGACTACAGGCATGCGCCACCATGCCCGGCTAATTTTTTTTTTATATATATATGTATCAGTTGGCCAATTAATTTCTTTCTATTTATAGTAGAGACGGGGTCTCGCTCTTGCTCAGGCTGGTTTTGAACTCCTGACCTTGAGCAATCCGCCCGCCTCGGCTTCCCAAGAGCTAGGATTACAGGCGTGAGCCACCGCGCCCGGCCATGATTTTTTATTTTTTCTAGAGACGTGGGTCTCGCCATGCTGTCCAGGCTGGTGTCAAACTCCTGGCCTCAAGCGATCCTCCCACCTCGGCCTCCTGGAGTGCTGGGGTTACAGGCGTGAGCCGCCCGCCCGGCCTGGAAGGTTTCATGGAGGAATGTGACACCCAGAGGTCACAAACCATCGCTCCCTGGGGAACAACACGCTCCCCGACCTTTCTCTGCAGCACCGAGGCTTCAGATCCGGCGTCGGCTGCCGCGGCCTCCGTGCCCGGCTGGGCTGCGGCCTCGAAACGCACGTCCCAGTCCTAGCCCGGCACCTGCGAATGTGGTCTTTTTAAATTTTTTTCTTTTTTGAGACAGAGTCTCGCTCTGTTGCCCAGGCTAGAGTGAGTGCCGTGGCGTCAGCCTCGCTCACAGCAACCTCAGACTCCTGGGCTCAAGCGATCCTCCTGCCTCAGCCTCCCGAGTAGCTGGGACTACAGGCATGCGCCACCATGCCCGGATAATTTTTTCTATATATATTAGTTGGCCAATTAAATTTTTTCTATTTTTAGTAGAGACGGGGTCTTGCTCTTGCTCAGGCTGGTTTCGAACTCCTGACCTCGAGCGATCCGCCCACCTCGGCCTCCCAGAGTGCTGGGATCACAGGCGTGAGCCGCCGCGCCCGGCCCTGAATGCGGTTTTGCTTTAAAGGGGTCTTTGCGGATAATAATGAAATGAAAGGGCTCAAGATGAGATGACCCTGGGCTGTCCGGGGTGGCCCAGAGCCCGATGACACTCGTCCGAGTGAAGGAAAAGGAGCCGTCAAAGACGGAGGCACAGATTGGAGTGATTCGGCCACATGGGAGGACCCCCCCTCCAGCCTCCCCAGGGGGCCGACCCCGCCGCCTCCTCGGGTCTGGCCTCCGGGTGTCTCCAGAGCTGCGGGGACATAGTGTCCTGTCCTTCCAAGGCGCCGGTTTGTGGCCGCTTGTCACGGCCGCCGCGGGAAACGGTGGCACCCTCCGCTGTGTGTCCAGCCGGCCGCGGGCGGCCTCCTCCCTGGAAGCGGCGGCTCGCGTGGCCCTGTAAGACCCTGGTGCGGAGTCTCCCTGCGGCCGGACGGCCAGCAGCTCGGGCCCTGCAGAAACGCCCCGCGTGCCGGGCGGCCTGAGCGACCGGACGTCTGTTTCCCGCGGTTCTGGAGGCCGGGAAGTCCAAGATGGAGCTGCTGGCCGGCTCGGGTCCGGGGTGCGGGGTGGGGGGCTCCCCTTCCGGCTTGCGGCCGGCCGCCCTCTTGCCCTGGCTCCCGTGGCAGGAGGAAGAGAGAGGCAGGGAAGACGGGGCTCGGGCCGCCCAAAGTCCTCTGCAAACACAGCCCGTGGCAGGCTAGGGCTTCACTCACCCCAGGACCGGGGGGCACATGGCGCTCAGCCCGTCACAGCCGGGCTTCAGAGTCCCGGGGCCACTGGCCGGCGCGGAAACTCCGCAAAGGCTGAGCGGCAGACACTCTGAGTGGGCGCCGGTCTCTGGCCGCCTCTGTGGGGTGTTGGGTCTTTTTCTGTTTTTTTCCTTTGGAGACAGAGTCTCGCTCTGTCGCCCGGGCTAGAGTGAGTGCCGTGGCGTCAGCCTCGCTCACAGCAACCTCACACTCCTGGGCTCAAGCGATCCTCCTGCCTCAGCCTCCTCCCAAGTAGCTGGGACTACAGGCATGCGCCACCATGCCCGGCTAATTTTATATATATATTAGTTGGCCAATTAATTTCTTTCTATTTATAGTAGAGACGGGGTCTCGCTCTTGCTCAGCCTGGTTTCGAACTCCTGACCTCGAGCAATCCGCCCGCCTCAGCCTCCCAGAGTGCTGGGATTACAGGCGTGAGCCACCGCGCCCGGCTCCGGCTCATTTTTTCTATGTATTTTTAGTTAGCCAATTAATTTCTATTTTTAGTAGAGACGGGGCCTTGCTCTTGCCCAGGTTGGTGTTGAACTCCTGACCTTGAGCGATCCTCCCGCCTCGGCCTCCCAGAGTGCTGGGATGACAGGAGTGAGCCGCCGCGCCCCCGCCAAGCATAGGCCATGGGGAAGGGTGGATGCGACAGGAGCTGTGCCCACGCCCGCCGACCTCCTGCCGGTGATGCCAGGGCAGCGCAACTCGTCACTGAGGCTCAGCCGGCTGCCACCTGCCCTCCACACCTTCCCAGCAAAAACCTCCGGGGACAGGAGCCCGTGGGGACTGGGCTCTGCCCAGGGCAGATGACACGGCAGCTCAGAGCCAGTCCCGCTCCATCTCCTGTTGCCTGGGCACGTAGGTCATGACCCTCTCCCAGTCGTTGCCGGGTAAGGACGACTTCCGCAAGCACCGTGTCTACGTGAGGCCAACTCATCCCGGGTTTTCGGTTGGCTAAACTGTTAAGTGACACCTGCCCCTTTTTCATTTAGATGCAGACTCACTCTGTTGTCCAGGCTACAGTGCCGCGGCTTCACCACAGCTCAGTGCAGCCTCAAACTCACCCAGGCTGGGTGAGGCTGGAGCCATCCTCCTGCCTCAGCCTCCCTAGTAGCTGGGACAATGGACATGGTGTACACCGACCGCCCTTGGTGAATTTTTTATTTTTACTTTTTGTGGAGACGGGGTCTGGCTATCTCACCCAGGCTCTTCTTGAACTCCTGGCCTCAACCGATCCCCCTGCCTTGGCCTCCCTTGGGATTGCAGGCGTGAGCCGGCATACCAGCCTGTCGGCCCCTTTCCTGCGAGCCCGGAGGAGGGCCCTCACCGGAACCCTTCCTCACGCCGGCGCCCTGGTCTCGAGTTCCCGCCTCCGGGAGTGCGTGCTAACTGATTCTCTCAGCTGGGCGGGCGGCTCACACCTGTAATCCCAGCACGCTGGGAGGCCGAGGCAGGAGGATCACTCCAGGCCAGGAGTTCGAGACCAGCCTGAGCAAGAGTGAGACCCCGTCTCTACTAAAAATAGAAAGAAATTAATTGGCCAACTAATGTATATAGAAGAAATGAGCCGGGCATGGTGGCGCATGCCTGTAGTCCCAGCTACTCGGGAGGCTGAGGCAGGAGGATCGCTTGAACCCAGGAGTTGGAGGTTGCTGTGAGCGAGGCTGACGCCACGGCACTCACTCTAGCCCGGGCGACACAGCGAAACTCTGTCTCAAAAACAAAAAACCCTAATTCTCTTGTTTGAGCCACCCGGTATGGCGAGCTTTGCTGTGGCCGCAGAGCTGGCCGGGAGTCACGTTTCGGGCGTGTCTACAAGGGCGGTCAAGTCAGAGCCTTTATTCACCAAGAAGAGAAAACCGTCCCAAACTCGTATGCACCTAATAACAGAGCCTCAAAATACAGAAAGTTAAGCACGGCTGCAGGGCATCGTGAGTTGATCTTTGCGTTGGGTCTGTCACTGGGGTTTCTAGCGCCGACGTAGCCCGTGGTGTTCCTCGCCAGGACCCCACTCTGTCTGATTTTATTTCCGTCTTAGCAAGCCGCGGGGCGGGCTCCGGCCCTGCGTATTTGGGGGCTGTTACCCGCCGCTTGGGTGCCTGAGGCTGCTGAGCACCTCGCCGCCCGCTCAGCAGCCCCCGTGACGGCCCCCACCTAGAGTGCCACACGTCCCCAGAGAGGGCACGGAGGGGGCTCAGACACCGGCCCCCAAGGGCCCCCGGGGAGGGACAGGCCCCCTGCTCCCGTTCACCGGCCACAGCAGGCCGCGCGCGCCTCCCTGGCTTCAGAACCTGGAGGCTCGCTCCTCCCTTGTGCCTAGAAGGCGCGCCGGAAATGGTGGCCAAAATCACTAACGGCCACCGACAGCTGTCCCCAGGAGAGCCCGAGGTGTCCGGGCAAGAGTTGGCGAGCTTTCTGTAAAGAACCAAAGAGCGGGCCGGGCGCGGAGGCTCACGCCTGTCATCCCAGCACTCTGGGAGGCCGAGGCGGGATTGCTCGAGGTCGGGAGTTGGAGGCCAGCCTGAGCAAGAGCGAGACCCCGTCTCTACTAAAAATAGAAAGAAATTAATTGGCCAACCAAAAATATATTGAAAAGAAAATTAGCCGGGCATGGTG